ATGAAGATATTAAAGAATATAAATTGAAGAAAAATATTAAATAAACAGAACAACTAAAAGCAAAGTTAAAAGAAAAAATGTTCTTGAGATATTCAAAAATAAAAAACTTTAATAAGTTATTAAAAAAAAAAAAATTACAAAAAAAAAACAATCTTTAAATTTTAATAATTTATGTTGTTTGCATTGTTTATATTGTTGTGTATTTTATGGTTAAATAAATGGTAAATATTGTTGTTTTTTTTTGCAAAAAAACGCTGATTTTCTGCTAAATTTCTCTGGGATCAAGGGATATATATATATATATATATATATATATATATATATATATATATATATATATATATATATATATATATATTTATATATATATATATATATATATATATATATATATATATATATATATATATATATATATATATATATATATATATATATATATATATGTATATATATATATATATATATATATTTATATATATATATATATATATATATATATATATATATGTATATATATATATGTATATATATATATATATATATATATATATATATATATATATGTATATATATATATATATATATATATATATATATATATATATATATATATATATATATATATATATATATATATATATATATATATATGTTTACATATTTATATATGTCAAAACCGTTAAATTTAATTGAGGAAACTAATTATATTCATTGTTTTTTAAAAAACTACAACAACCCTAATTAATAGAATGGAATATTTTTATATTTGATTTTTTACTGTTTACATACATCAACTTAGAAATAGGTAGAACATGCAAGATGTGCTGCTTCATTGACTAACAAATAGATAGAACATGGAACAAATGTTGCTAGATCACTGACAAATAGGTAAAACATGCAAGGAGTGCTGCTATATCGACTGACAAATAGGTAAACATGAAAGGACTGCTGCTACATTGACTGACAAATAGGTAGAATATGTGCAAAGTGTTGCTACATTGACTATATATATTTATTAAAATTGTTTTCATCCCAGCCTCTACTTAATAACCTCTCTGAATGACATTTTTTAACTTCAGCCAATTGTCAAATCCTTTTTAAATATCCAACAAAAAATTTTTAAGCAGTAAAACAAAGCCAATTAATAAATGAAGTTAGGGTAGAGGAAATAGTTGCTCAATTAAAGTCTGGATCTAGATTAATATACACAATTTGAGGATTGATGCAGTTCATGAGGTTTTCATGGATGATTTCACTGGTTTATTTTCTGAATATTTATTGTACCAATAATCAATATTGCCAAGAATTTGTTTTGTTCCTAAATCTAATGTGAATATTGCTTCATACCATCATCAAACTATTTTTACAGAATGTCCAGATAAGCCTAATAGCCCATTTTCACATTTTAAGTCAAAAACGGACACATTGTATAGCTAGATTGTGATTGTTATACACCTTTATTTAAGTACTTATCTAAAACACTATTTTTATGACAATTAAAGATATTGATAATCACTTTAAAAAATGAACCACTCCCATCCAACAAAGTTCTTATAAAGGCTGAAATTGGGTTTAAACCACATAATTTCATCAAGTTTTGCACAAAATCAAATCAAATTTCCAAAAGCCTAAATATAATTTGCACTAAAAAAATGTTTTTTTTTTTTTATATAGAAAATCTAATATTTATGTGCTATTACAAAAAAACTTTATTTTTACCTGCTCAGCTTGAGGAGAACCTAATAGAAATGCTAACAAAATAATATTAGCCACCACACTGGTGGCTAAAATTAGCCACCACACTGGTATTTTTGCAGTTATGAGTGTAATAATGAGCAAGATAAACTTGATTCAGATCTAGATAAATTGTCTCATCTTGAAGAGTGACACTAGAATTAGAAGAATTCCTCAAAAGAGTTTTCCAATTAATCAAACTTAAAGAACTTTTATAAGTTAAAAAAAAGTATAATAATAAAGAATAATAAAATTAGGACTCGAAAATCGTTAAATGAAAATGTTATTTTACCACCAATTGATGTTGTATTTGATAGTAATAATTGTAATTAGTTTTCAATAGACCATCTTTATAATGTGAAACATTTTCTTCATCTTTCCACAATTCTAAGCTGTTTCTTTATTTATAGGGTCTTTTTTTATTAAAAAAATAACTTAAAATATTTAGTTTCTTATTAATCCTATTTTAATATTTTAAATAGTTTCTTATTAATCCTATTTAAAATATTAAAATAGGATTAATAAGAAACTGCTTAATTAAAAAAAGTGAAAAAATATGTAAAAAAAAAAAATTATTTAATTTATAAATAATTGTTTTTTTAACAAAGTTTAAATAAAAATTTAAACTGAATTTTTAATTTAAAATTTAAACAAATTGTTTAAATTAAAAAAAAAAATTATTTACACAATTGATTCGTTTAAAGGTAAGAAAAAGGTGTTTTTAAAGGTAAGAAAAAGTTGTTTTTTTCTCTTCATTCAACCTTAATGACCTTGGTGTACATCTAGTTTAATGCTGTTAAGTTTAGAGACCTGGTAGGTCAAACATGTTCATGATAATCATTAGAGATCATTTTATCTACAAAGCAAAAAAATTTGACTTTCTTGAAAGAACTTTATTTACTAACATAGGTAGGTCAGTTCAATAATATCAGTACAATATGTTACTCAGTACAATGATATCAGTATCAATAATGTCAGTACAATAATTTAAAAAAAAGTTTTTACCACATTTGAATTGACATTTTTTGACATATCAAAATCTATATGAATAGATGTGACTTTTTCATAACATCGAGGTTTTTCCTGTATTCTGGATCTTTCAATATCCTTTTTATTTTCTTCAATAATTCTAATGAAATATCTAGTACACCTAATAGATAATTTATTTTAAAGTTTGAAATTTTTCATTTTGAAATCTGCATTATGGTTTATTTAAAAGAAAAATATTTTTATTGTTGTTGTTGTTGTTGCAAGGGTGACAAATATCAGGACCAATTAACTAATAACAAACTGAGGAAAATGAAATCTTTATTTAAAGAAGTCTTTTGTAGGTGAATTCAGTAATTATAAGTTAGCAACATTGAATTTTATATGATTATATAAAGTTGTTATATATGATTTGAATGTTGACATCATGTATGAGGGTATATGTATCAAAGATATAAAACAGCAATTAATGAGTTTTTTCAATAGGATTGTTATTTTTTTGAAATATTTGTTTATTCACAAACTTTCCTATGAAATTTAATATATTCTTTACTTTTAATGTCCAATTAATTTCTTCATTACAGTCTTCTTTATAAGCAGCTATATCATATCTACTTTTCATTAAAAAAATTTTAATGTTGTTGAGTTCTAGTTCTATTTCACCCTCATAGAATATGGAGTAATTACAGTCAAATAAATTCCAGGTTTGAAACAAGTTGAAAGTGGTACTATCAAACACAGAACTTCTTGTTTAAAATGTGAGTCCACTACACCACTACCACATTCTAATGGTTTCCTAATTAAGTAAAATAATAAAAATCAATTGTGTGACTTCAAATGACAAAATAATTAAGGAAGTAAACAATAAATGTTTACTTCCATAATTATTTTGGTGAGTTACTAATGGTAACTATAACCAATATATATATATATATATATATATATATATATATATATATATATATATATATATATATATATATATATATATATATATAAAGTATTTACTTGAGCTTTTTTGTTTGTTTTTTATCATTATAAATGTTACCCTTTAGGATCAATGTGTTTTGATAGCTCTGCACTTACCAGTCTTGGTTCTACTGCAACAAAAACTGCAGAACCTAAGATTGATAAATTAGATGAGACAGCGGCAAGTGTTGATGCTAAATCAAATGATGTCAAGCGAGCTTGTGATGATGTAAATTTCAGTTTATTTTTATTCTTTCATAAATCGTTTTTAAAATTTGTAAGAAAAAGATTATTTTCAAAGAATTGATCAGTTTGAGAGTTTTATAAATTTGATTTTGTATTATAGTTAACATAATATAATACTATTATGCTAAAATAATAATAATATTATTTGTTTTTGATTATTATTATTATTTATTTATAATATGAAAGGGTTAAATTTATCCAAAGTTCTAAGGTAAAATTTTAAACTTCAAAAAAATTATTTCTAATTTATAGATGGATAAAGAAGCAAATCGTGTTGAAAATGATGTTAAAACCACAACCACTGCCAAAATAGAGAAGCGATCCCATGTTCCTACTGAAGAAGAAGTACGTCTCCATAAATTAATTTATGATCCTCTACCAAAAGTAAATTTGAGAAGTGATGAAACAAATAGTGCTATGAAAAATGCAGTCCCCTGGGAATATCTTAATGCAGAAGACATCAATAACCAAGTTGTTCTTTATCGAAACAATGTGTCTGTTCGTCACAAAATACCTAATGAAGGTAAGAACATTTTATAGTTTAATGGTACTTATTAATATAACGTTAAAATATTAATAAAATTGTTAATAATAATATTAATAAAATCTCTATTAAGAAATTGTATTAGTTATTTTTTGTCTTGTATGTATTATGATTAAAAAAGTAAGCTTTATTGGTAAAATAAGTTTTAGAAATTTGTTCTGATTTGTGCAGTTTGATTTTAGAGTCACATGATTTTTGTCATCAACATCAAAATGTTCTTTCAAGATATAGTACCATAGCAGATAGTTTCTCTTCTGCTATTAACAATGCAAACAAAGCTAAAGAGGGATACATAAATAAAAAAAAATCATATTTGAATGAAGTAGATTACTTGAATGGTTTGGTTCGTTCAGGGCGTAAGTGTTTAAAATTGTTGTGTAAAAATTCAATCAGTAAGTTAGTTACTTTGATTAATTAGGTCAATTATTTAATTTTAATTAGGTAAGTTTGTCAATTATTTAATTTTGTCAGAAAATCAATGGTAGTCTTGATAGTCTGTAATGCAAAAAATAACAGTTAACACATTTAACTGTTATTTTTTGCATTTACAAACTATAACAAAATCTCTCTTGATTTTCACATTATTAAAAATTGTTTTCATTAAAATAATTGCCTAAAAACATTTTCTAGAAGTTAAAAACAACTGTTGGAAATCTTTTTGAAAGTACTATGAAAATATTTGAAAATATTAATCAAAGACATTACCTTTAAAACACTTGTTTGAAAATATTTTTATGTTTCTTTATAAATGTTTTAATTAAATACATGTAGTAAAAATCATGAGTGAATAAGCAAATTTACGCTTTAACAATAATAATAATAATAATAATAATAATAATAATAATAGCAATAATAATAATAGCAATAATAATAATAATAAAATAATAATAATAAAAAGCATATTTGAATTATCCTTTTCATTCAAATCCTCTTTCATGCCCTAAATAAAAAAATATTTGGTATTGTTTAGCATTAAATAATATGACATTGGATGAACAACAGGATATATTGCACTGGAGGGATTACACAGAAAGTCGTGAGTATTATTTGAGATTATGTAGCTTCTTAAGTTTGAATTATAAAAGTTATTAATTTTTTTTTATTATTATTAATTTGAATTGATTAACTTTAAGAATGAGAAATTTTATTAAATATTTTATATATGGCTGGAAAATGCTTTTGTGCAGAGGCAATTGTCTGCTATAATGTTGTCCAGTATTCAGAGGACTTTAATAAAATGTTTCAGAAAAATATTTTGATGTCAAAATAAAATTATTACATATATATATATATATATATATATATATATATATATATATATATATATATATATATATATATATATATATATATATATATATATATATATATATATATATATATATATATATATATATATATATATATATATATATATATACATCCTTATATCGTAGTCGAAAAAGCTTTTATGCTAAAAAAAGTCTCTTTCGATTACAATTTTTATTACCTCGACTCTTAAGCGGTATTTTATTGTTGTCGAAATGTCAAAGCAATTAAATTAATGTAGAAGTACATAAAGTTTTATTGTTTTTTAAAAAAAACCCGCAATAATAATGACTAGAAAGTTTTTTTTTAATTAATGGTGTTTTTGTTGTTATTTTATTAAAATATATTTTTAAAACATGCGCAAATTGTTGCTACATCGATTATCTTATAGCCACCTGCTACTTTGTGTATATATATATATATATATATATATATATGTATGTATATGTATATATATATATATGTATATATATATATATATATATATATATATATATATATATATATATATATATATATATATATATATATATATATATATATATATATATATATATAACTTATATTATATATAAGTTATTAAAATAATAAACCCAGTGTCTTGAACAAGTTATAGCGCATCTAATGCCATCATTCTTATTTCTAATGTTAACCAACGAGAATTATTAAGGCGACTAGTTTTCCAACTTGAGTTTTAAACACTCTTATTTCCTGATACAAATTTCATACAACATTCTCTCAACATTTAAAAACTTCTAAAAAATGATTGGTTCTAAAAAAATTTTTCTAAAAAATGATTGGTTCTAAAAAAATTTTTCTAAAAAATGATTGGTTCTAAAAAAAATTTTCTAAAAAATGATTGGTTCTACAAAATGATTTAGGGACTCAATTAAATGTTTTAAACAAATATTTAAATAAAAGCATATCCTGATGAAGATTACAGTGTGAAGTTTTTGCCCACGTTTTTTTCTAACTCAGAAATTATTCCTACTTTACAACATGTTTGTTGAAGTATTGCCATACTATTTAAGAACATCATAGAGGCTCTGAGCTTGTTTTTATCCTTTTGTTGCAACAAAAGGTAAAACTTTGAAAGTAAGGTGTTCCTCGCCAATTTTTATTTTGTTATTTAAATAAAAATCATTATTTAAAAAAAAAAAAAAATTGTGTTTTTTTATTTGGGCTACAAGCGCATTAAATATTTTTATCTAAATAACGTTTTCCATATCATAACATAACATATATAACATTTTTACATAATCATATATAACAAATTTTTTTTTTGCTATAAGTGTTACAGTTATGCTGGGACTTTAACTTGAATAACTATTGTTCAGAAAATAAAGATCTTGTATAATCTGTCTATGGGTGGTTCTATGGGTGGTTCTATGGGTGGTTCTATGGGTGGTTCTATGGGTGGTTCTGTTTTTAAAATAGGGTTTGGACTTTCACCAAAGTTATTTTTACGTTGTGTTATTACGCTTGTTTGACATTCTTTACTTTTTGATCTATTCCTTGTAAAAATTTAACACTTGTTTATCTTGTTTAAATCTTTATTTTTGTACGAAATGTAAATGGTAAGGATGGCGTTTCAAAGATTATATTTATCAATACATAAATTCATTTTAGCTCAAGCTAAACTTCTTTAAAATAAAAAAGATTCAACCAAACACTTTTTTTTTTACTAAATAAACAAAACCTCTATTTTTCCAAACTTCTGATTTCAAAATCGACCTGCCCTGTGTAGTTACAAAAAAAGAAAAGATTTTTAAAAAGTATAAGATATCGTTATATGATATTGTTAAAGCGAATACAAGCTTAATACTTTATTTAATACTTAAATAAAAACTTTTTTTTCTGTTAAACGACATTTTATTACAAAAAAAAACAGTTAAAGGTTAAAAGAGGTTCTCAAACATTTTGTAATTTAGTTGTTCAATCTACTGTTCAATGGCGCCGAGAAATTTTTATCGAAAAGCAATAGTGCTGTTTTAATTAGTTGCGATAATTGCTTATCATATGCGATTATACAAATTAATTGCGATACACTTCGAAAACAAAACGTTGCGATATTTGTTTTCGTATATCATATATCGTATCGATATACGATTTCGTATATCGTATCGATATACGATTTCGTATATTGTATTGATATATGATATACGATTTCGTATATCATATATCGTATCAATATACATTGCGATACATATCGATACCAATAAATTTCCAAAAATTATAATGCACTTTTTTTATCGCATTTTTTGTTTTTGATAACGATGCCGATAAATTGAAATAGTCATCTCGCATTGTCATTGGAAGTTAATATTGTTGCGATACACTTCGAAACTTGCAAGATAAAGAGATTTATGATTTGTTTTAAATTTTTAGGCAAGATGAGCAAATTTTTGTGTAAAAAATGGTTTCTAAATATAAAAAGGTTTGCTAAACTATTTTACATTTCTTCAAAATTAATAAACAGGGGATTACTGTTAAACTTAAGGTAGGACAGGGGAGGGTTGGGTAGGACAAAAAAAAACTAAAAAAAGTAATAAAACCCCTCCCCTCGACCTTTGCATCATTTTGCATAATGTTTATTCGATACTAATTTTAAATACTCTGTAATTACAATGTTTTTTCATTCGATTAGTTTTGTTTTTGCGTTAATTCTTATTTCAACTCTTGCATTTTTGCAATATTAGTGTTGCGATTATCCCACTTTTAATTATAATTTACCATTTATATCAATGGAGTTTATATTAATATATTTAATAACTAAACAAAATTCGTAAGTTTATTAAGAGGAGTTTAACCTTTATAAGTTATGTAAGGTTATTTAACAAGGGTTTACCCTATATACATTTTGTATATTTATAGCATTAAATATAGTACAATTGTTTTTTTATTAGTTAAACGACAACTTATTTTTTAATAGCAGTAGTACTAGTATTACTATTATTAATTATAATTTGTAATTTTTTAGTTATAATTAATATTTATTATTTAGTATTTGATTATTTATAACTTTAAATTTATCTATATGCTTTAGACGTCAAAAGTTTCATAGATAAAGCAACAGCTGCTTTTCACGGTAGAAGACGTGATGGTATAAATCATGTTCGTCAGGTTCTCAGCAATGCCGTTGAAAGTGATAGAGGTGTTAAGTTGCCTGAGTACATTAAACACTTACACTCTCTTGCAGTAAAAGCTGACAAAAAATCTCAAATTGATACAAAACCTTACAAAGATAATTCCATCAGTTTGCACCACATAAAGGAGGTTAGTAATAATAGTATTGTTTCAGTTTTTGTAATTTTTTTATTTTGCTTTAATTTAAAAATATATTAATATAACAAAAATGCAACCAAAAAAAAAAAAAAAAAGGTGTTTTATTTCGACTTGGTTTACCTTTCTGCGTTGTTCTGTATTCTGTATTATATTCACCTAAATTTATTACTTTTTTAGATTCTTCTTAACGTAGCTTCTAATGATCACATACCATCGATAGAATTAGCTAAAGGTATTGGCAAAGTGCAAAAGATGTTGTCTGATATGAAAAGATCAAGTATTCCATGCGCAGCCTAATTTTTTTTAATGAGGAGTTAATATTTATATGATACCTTTATATATATATTTATTTATTTATTTTTATATAAATTTTAATGTAACTTGTTTGCAATAAAGAATACTTGAAAACAAGTGTCTAATGATAGTTTTTATTTTTATTGTTATTTGTTAATTTTTTTTTTCATTAGTAAATTCGTATTTTTTTACCATTAACTTTTCAGTCATTTTACTTAGGTTCTTATTATTTTACTCAAGTTAGCTGAAAATATCATAGTGAACTGTTTTTTTTTTTTCGAGTTTTGTTTTTCTGTGTTCCAATATTTGTTGCAAAGCTGCGGTAAGTGATTGGAACGATTGGAATGACTTTTCAACTTTCTTTTATTTTCTTTTTGAATAGGCAGAGTTGTTACATATTTTAGGCTATTTGATTTTGAAGTTGACTAAATATCTGATGCTATTTGCCGTAAGTTGATGCTAGATGTTGTTAGTATAGAGTCAGAAGACTGGCTGAAGTAGTGTAGTTTTAGGCGGTAATTGAGATAACAAAAACTTAAGATGAGATGATGGTGTTTCAAACGTATTAGAAATTTGTAATATTGACTAATCAATTTTTTTTTCCTGTGGAGTGGAAACGGAATTTTGAAATCAAGTGACTGTTTGGTTGTAAAAACAATTTTTGGAATTTTGAAATCAAGTGACTGTGTGGTTGTAAAAACTTGACCAAAGCTGAAAAATATAGCTTGCAGTTGACTAGAGCACTATTTTGATAGTTTTCTGTATTTTCTTTTCTGCATATAACTGTTGAATTAATCCTCGCCCAGCTCTTTTGACATTTTTGCAATAACGCTTGGATTTTAATTGTCTTCTGCTTAGCAGCAAATTTACTTAAAGTTAATTTAAAATTTTTTTTACAATTTTCTGGTGTTACCATATCATTTTTATCAAAATCACCTATTTACCGTTTACCATTGGTAGTAGGATTTGACAAGTTTCAACATTATTGTTCCTAAAAATATAAAAATGTTATATGCAGGGATACGGAGTCCCAAAGGGATTCTGGCTTTATATCTTTACTTTTTCTAAGTCTGTAGTATCCAGAAGCTCTAAACATGTTTGTTGACTTGATCTGCTATAAGAAAAAAATTTATGAGATTTAATGACTTGAAACTTATTGTTTTTAAACAATAAGTTTCTTAATAATAAGTTAATATCTTAACAATAAGTTTTTCCTTATTACGACTCCGCATCCCTGGTTATATGTCACAAAAAGTAAACTCAAACATTTTAAATTAATGTATGTCATTGAAAAGTAAGTTGTAAAGTATGCCATTTTAAAGTAGTTATATTAGACTTACTATATTGAATTATTGCTAGATCTTTCGGAAAATTACCAAAAAAAAAAAAAGTTAAATAGATATATTAAAGTAATATACTTTTTATATTCGAATGTAGGATCTAAAAGTAGAATCTTAGCATAAAATGATTTGTAGCAACTTAACCACGAAAAGAAAGTCCATGTCCAGAGCGAAATCAAAGGTTATATTAAAGCATTGTGGGTCTATCTAGGCTGAAAAAGTGTGTACACTTTGTTTTTATTTTTCAGATGATATTATTTGGGTTTGTTAGTCTCGCCAATAAGGATTTATTGTTTTTGTTTGAGATATGAATCCAAATCTAGCCTTTAAAACCATTGTGGTTTAGCCTGAGAGAGTGTTATATTTTCTTTTAATTTTTTAAAAGTTAGTCTGGCCCATAATCTAGCCCATATGAGTATGCTGTCTTTTATTGAGATTTGTATCTCTTTTGTTTAAAACGCGTCTAGTGTGTCCTTGTTTTAACCTAGTTTAATATTTTATTAAATAAACAAATAATTTTACAATGTACTAGTAAAAAAAATATATATATCTTTTTTCTGACAATTCTGACAGGACCAAGCAGAAGACAATACATCTTATCACCTTGCTCCTTAGGTAGCGAAATATAAAAAATTATAAGTAAAAAATTCGTTTTTACATATTCAAGAGCTAAACATATACATAAATATTAGTAAATATATAACAAGATAAATAAATACTAGACGAGTTAAAAATACAAAAAAAAGTTTTTATTGGTTAGATTTAACAAATATAAAAATTTAGTTTGCATACATTTAAAACATTAATTTCTTTTAGTAAAAGCTTAGCGCATTAATATCTGTTTGCATTAAAAATTAACTTCTTATCAACATCTGCACTCTCTCATTTTGCCTAACATAGTGGGACAAAATGAGATTGCCCTACTATGTAGGGCAAATGAGATTATATTTGAATATAATTCTAAAACTGCCCAGATTTTAAAAAAAATTTTAAAGTGAGATTTTAGTGAGATAAATTTTTTATATAATAAAGTTCTACAACTTCATTATATAAAACAAACTGTCACCAGTCGTAACTGTCACCACTGTCACCAGTCGTAACTGTCACCAGTCGTATAAAGTACAAATAGCTATAACCTATGTGAGATATAAGGTGGTAACCTTATAATTATTTTTCCATTTTTTTATGAGTTTAGTGCCCATCTAATATAAAAAGAACTTTATTTTCAGTAGCCTTTGTTTTAGACTTTGTTTTAGAAAATGTTTTATATACTCTATGAAAAATTAGTTGTAATCTAATCATGTTTATTTAACAGGTTAAATAAACATGATTAGATTAGATTTAGGCTGTTACAGAACGAAGATCAAATTTAAAATCGGCTGCTTGTTCTAAACAATTAAAAAGTGAAGATTTTTAGTTGTTTAGAACTTGATTTGATGTTTAACAATGGGTTAATTTGTTTAACTGTCAGGAAGAGTATGACCATTATATTGAAGAGTTAAATTAGAGTAAGATTTCTTTGTAAACTCTTTATTCTGAGGAGAAGTAAAAAGATCAGACCAAAAGAATAAGGGATGTTAGACTTACTTTAGTTAATGACATTGTTGAAGACTAACCAAATGTCTCTAGAACTTAACATCTGAGATACAAGAAATAGTAAAATGAGAATAACAGAGGTTAACATCAGACAGGACTTTTTACATTGGCTTCTTGCAATAATAAAATGACACTTGTTCTTAACAGAGATGTTCTTGTAAAAAAGATGAAAAAAATGATTAATGTTTAATAAAGCAACTGCTCAAGATGGTGAAAAATGTGCAGTAGAATAAATGAATGAGTAGAATGACTTTAGATTAAAGAGAAGTAATAAAGGTTTTCAAACTTTTATTTCAGAAGGACTAAAAGCTTCTAAGATGCATTTTATACACACTATTATAGATATAAACATATATGTTTGCTATTTATTTAAATGCTGGCAAACAATATCCTTTCATTGTTATATAAACTTTAGTATTTATATGGTGTAGTATTTACCGAAAGAGAAGATGATCAGATGGATGTGTGGTGTGACTTTAGCAAGACAAGAAAAGGAGGCATAATCTTAGACAGATTAAAAAAAAATTGTATCGAACAACGTTTGTTAAAAAAGATTAAAGTGATTTAGGTATCAGCATGATGATGATGATGATGATGATGATGATGATGATGATGATGATGATGATTATGATGGTGATAATGATGATGATAATGATGGTGATAATAATGTTCTCATTTATGATGTTAATGATGATGATCATCATCATCATCATTAACAACATTAACAGCATTAACATCATCAGCCCGGTCACAAACCCAGCCCCGGCCTCGGCTCCGGCTATATTTCATCAAACCCGGCCCCGGCCCCGGTCAAATATCAACCCCGGTCACTTACTACCAACAAAATTTCTTACTGCAACATCATTATCTTTTTTGTATGAATGAACTATATTATACTTTTCTACAAACTGGAAGTCAGTCCACTTATCGATAATCCATAAAACTCTGAATTGATTTTTTGAATCGATTGAATCGATTTCTTTTGCTTTTTGCAAATTACTAGTAAGGAGCTTAGTCACTTGACTTTTTATTGATTAAAAAAAACGCAGTTTGTTTCGTCCAAACAACGCTAGGAGCAATTTTAGATAGGTGTCGAAGAATGAAAACCCACCCATGAAAGTTACAAATGTAAATAGTAGAATATTTATTGAGATTAAAAGAACATTTTACTTTTGAATTAAAAAGTTTTATACTTTTAAATGATTCAACTTTATTTAAAGATCAGTTAAATTAGATAGTTCATTCGTTTTCATATGAAAGTAGGTTCTGCAACTATTTATAATGTGTATGAATTTTTAAATTTTTTTCTTATGGTTAATTAGAGTGGGTATTTTATTTTCTATTCGGTGATTTTTAGAATTTTCCCCGTTTTACTTACATTAGTAAGCGCAGTTAAAACTATCTACCAATTTCTGTGTTAGACAATTTTTTTTATATGGAAAATAAAATATGCGCACGTAAAATATTTTTATTTGTGTAAATATATAGATATACGATAGTTAGGCTGATATATCTAGCTGATATTGTGGTACAAATTTTGTTATTAACTATATTAAAACGAAGGTTTACTGAAATATTTTTTTCAGTTTTATAGTAGATTTACTTTTAAAGTATTTATTATTATGATCAGCCCGTTTACAGCTATTTAAAGTCAGTTTAGAAAATAGTATATAACACTTCATATCTTTTTTATAAACTTTTTCTTTTAAAAGCTTTTTAAAGTGATAATTATTTTCATTTCTTGTAAAATAATTGTGTTCTTCATTGTGTTTAATACAAAATCCTAGAAAGATCTTAATTATCTTAAGATTACTTGTATTGTTTTGATAAAAAAACAACCAAACTGTTGTTAAATTTTGAATAGTGAATGTAATTGATTTTAATTTTTGTAGGCTTGATTTCTGGAGGCTTGACTTCTGGAAAGTTTTATTTTTATTTACATAAAATGCCTAATATAGAAATTTATAATTGGTATTTAACATTGAAAGATACCTTCTATAATGCAGTACATTGCACGTTTTATGTAAATTTTATTGTTCAACTGCTTTGCTGTAAAAAATTTTTAGCAATAAAGTTAACTTGACTAGTTGATAAAGACCGTTTTCCACAAGACGAAAAATTCGCGCGAAGCGAATTTTTTTGTCGTTAAGCATGCGCAGATTAAACATTTTTGGCGATTATACTGATTTTTTTTCGCTACAGTGTTTCGCTGCAGCGAAAAAAAAAGTTGGATTCATTTCGACTTTTTGCGAATCGCCATAAGCGAAAACCAATCAAGTTTTGAATATTATATCACGTGATGTCAACATTAAAAAAAGCGAAAACATGTTGTTTTTATAGTAACAAAAAACAAAATTCTTAACCTGGCGTTCTTATTAATTTTATATGAACTTACTCTGAAAATTGGCAAGCATGAGTAAATTCATCAAGCGAATTTTTCGTCTTTTGGAAAACGGCCTTTACATCCGAAACCTACGGCCTAACATCCGAAACCTACGGCCGAAAGTTAAAAAAGCCACGCAAAAATAGCAAGTTGGCATTGTAGCATAATGAAACGCATAAAACCAAATGCAAATATTCAAACTTTCTAGGCTTTGACAATGTCGTCTCAAAATCAAACATTAGAATAGTTAAATAGTAAAACTGATCAAGAAAGAAAATAATTACTTAATTGTTTAAAAACCAATGATGAAAAAAAAATAAGATGAAAGAAAAAAAGTTCTTAAAAACAACAAAGCTATGCGTCTTATAGCCAAGCAAGAAGAAAAAAATAGAGGAGAAATTAAACTACACCAAAATCAAAATGCATGCGAGGCTCCTGTTGCATTTACAGAGGCATTGATAAACAATAGAACGTTTACCATACTTTTGGGTTTTAAAAGATGGTAAATTTAGTTTTCCATTGGGTATATTTCTAGTCAAGTAGGAATGTAATAGTCTACTTTCTGTGAACAAGTTTGTGATAGGAGATGGTATATTTTTATTTAAGGAGTCAAAAACAAAAAGAAGATTAGCATATTTTACTAGCGCTGGAAATGTTGGAATGAAAAGGTTTTTGAAGGACTGTGATGTATCTGATTTAATTGGTTGGAAGGTTATTAATCTGATGGATTGACGCTGAGACGATAGCAAATTGTTAATGCGATAGTTTCCAACTTGACCCCAAACTTTACAACAATAGCTAAGATGAGATGAGAATAATGCTTAGTAAATACTCCTAAGTGTAACTTTATTGACATAATGACGAATTATTGAAAGCATACCGTTAGCATTTAACCAGTGAACTATACCTTTTAGATCCGAATTAACATTTTTTACATAAAGAATAATACGATTTGTTGATGTGCTAGAGATTTGTATCATCAGCAAACAGATGGACTAAAGAGAAGTGAACAGAGTTGATTAGGTTGTTAACGTAGATTATAAACAAAAGAGGACCTAGAGCAGAACCTTGAAGAACACCACACAAAACTGATTTATAACTAGAATTGAAACCATTAATACTTACAAATTGTTTTCGATCTGGAAGATAAGATCGAAACCAGTCATTTACAATACCGCGAATTTTATGTTTTAATTTAGAAATCAAAATACTATGGTCAACAGTATCAAAGCTTTTTGTAAATCGATAAAAACACCGCAAACGAAATGACCAGTATCAAGAGCTTTCCTGATTTTTCCGTTATACTTATTAATGCATGGCAAGTAGAATGTTTTGATCGAAAACCAAATTGAAAATCATTCAAACAATTAAATGAATTTAGAAAAGAGTACACTCTAAAATACATAAGTTTCTCAAGAAGCTTACTAATGTTAGATAAAAGAGAAATAGGTATGTAGTTAGTGCATGAAAGTTTAGAGCCATTTTTAAAAATTGGAATAACGCAAGATAATTTCAAAATATTAGGAAATTTTCCACTTATAAATGAGATATTAAATAGTTAAGAAAGAATATTTGAAAAATCGTAGTTAAAATCTATTAGAATATTTGTGGGAATACTGTTTGGATCTAATGATGTTTTTGGATTCAATTTAGATATAAGAGATGAAATTTCAGAAATATTTGTTGGAGATAATAATAAACTATGTAAATTTGGATGTTTAAGATGTTTTTGATAGTTAATGTAAGATGAATGAATATTGGATTTGAGTTTATGAGCAACATTTGTAAAAAACGTGTTAAATGATTCAGAGATTAAAGTCGGGTCAGTTATATATGTATCATTTTCTTGCATACAGTTGGGAGATGATTTATTCAAATTTTTTACATTAATTAGAGTGTTAATACTTTTCCAAAGTTCGCGAAGATTTTTTACATTTTCTGAGAAAAAAATTTTAAAATGGTTTTTTTCACTAAGTTTAATAAAAAAATTTTTTTTGAGTAAAGTCAGAAAAAAAAAAAAAATACTGATTTGTAACACACGTGAAATTCAATGTTTAAAAAAAATAAATAAAAAGTAAAACCAAGTTTAGGAGAAAAAGTCAAACCACGTACGTACTCACTGTCTTTAATACCCCCTTATACGCGTTCGTACGTTTGTACCCCAAGAAATAAAGAAACGCAAACAATTGCGGTAGTGGTGTAGTGGTAGAGCGCTCGCTTCATAAACGAGTGGTTCGGAGTTCAATCCTCACCACGTCCCTGGTAGTACCGCGCTCAACTCGTTTCTCCGCGCTGCGGCCTTGTTCATCAAGGTTCGTGTTTCGGAGTTATAGAGTTGAGAGAGGGTTATAGCCACAAATAAGTAGCCTCCTCGTCTGTAGTGGCCTTCTCGGCCTTGAGGAGGTGAATTAAAATAAAAAAAAAAAAAAATTAAAAAGTATTTAAAGTAAGGATACTCAAATAAAGTTAAGAAAACTAAAAAAATATCATATAAACGTGGAGGTTTTTATTTTAATATATTTATTCCAGAAATTATATATTTTTTAGGCTTTTTGAGTAATTTTAATTTTTATATAACAAAATTTCAAAATATACTTTTTCAATAGTTTTCAAAGTTTGCGAAATAATAACTTTTTAAATAAATATGCAAAAGTTCTGAAATTTTCACAGATTGTTCTTCATATTATTAAAATTCATTTGAGAAAAGATTTTTTTCAAAGCATTTTAGATCTTGAAATTTTGCTATATTAAGATTGTTTTAACAAATGAATATTTTAGAAATTATGCATGAAACACTAAAAAGTAAGCGAGCTTACTTCTTAGTGTTTCATTCATAATTTCTAAAATATTCATTTGTTTTCATTTCTTTTCTCTCAAATGAATTATGTTACCTTGATTACAAGATGTCACAAATTTCATGCTAAAATGACTAGTAAATTTTGAGTAATTACTTCACAAAATTTCATTTTAAATTTTTTTTTGGAGTAATTAGGCAAAGATTTTCAAGTTTGATAGCATTTTTGAAAATTATTTTAAATTATGTATTTATGTTGTAAAAAAAAAGTGTGCTCAAGTTCCAATCAAATTTTAATATATTTCTTGGGGTGCCATCTTAAGTAACCGCCTTCCCCATTCCTGCGTACCTTCTTTATGGATGGCCCCAAACCTTATATTTCTTAATATTATTAAAAAAATATATCAAAGTTATACATATTCGAAACCAAAATTGAATTCTACATATATTGAAATAAAAATCTCAAAATCGTTTGTTTATGATTTTAATGTTTTAGTACCACCTTACTAGAGAGGAATATATTTACATTACTAGACAGGAATAAATACAACAAATAAACTCTCGAGATAAATTTAAACATATTAGGTAATAATAATTTTTTTTAATTTTGTCTCGCAACATGTCGGCATTAAAAGCGCCTAACTTCCAGACAATTTTATTTAAGAAATAAAATATTGTATGGAAATGATAGATCTACACAAAATGCATGTTAAAAAGTAATAAAATGTACACAATACGCTCTACGCGTATACAAATACGCGCTAACCAGCAAAAGTTGAATAGGATTATTAAAATCAATGATGCAGTGAGGTTCTGGTTCTCATCCTTAGGAATGCACTGCAATCACCGATGACGTTTCGGGGTGAAACCGTCGCTAAAGCCCCTTGTCAGAAGCATATCTTTGCTTAGAGTTTCCACGCCTTCTAAGTATTCAAATTTTGGCGGTGTTCTGTCATAAGACCGTTAGGTCTTTTAAAACATTTAATAAACGGAAAAAATTCGAAAAGCTATTGTTAAGAAATTACTGTTCAAATAAAAAGAAATGTTTAAATAATTTTTTTTAGTAACTGATATAAATTTAAAACCGCAAAATTAATAGTTTGAATAAAAAACAATTTTTAAACAAAAATTCTTTTATTAAACAATTGAGTTATATTAATATAATATTTATATCAGGTTATTGATAAAAAATGAAATTACTTATTTAAGTTGTTATTTTTCTTTTTATTATAACCTTTTGTTGACTTCCAAAATACTTTTGTTGACTTCAAAAATAACTTTTGTGTTGTCTAGCTGTTAAAAATATTAGATGTGAGATAAAACTTGATATAATTAAATAAAAATTAAAAAATAACTTTCATTCATACACTAATATAAATTATTCTTCAATAATGCATCGTAAGCAAAAATATTATATATATATATATATATATATATATATATATATATATATATATATATATATATATATATATATATATATATATATATGATATATATATATATATATATATATATATATATATATATATATATATATATATATATATATATATATATATATATATATATATATATATATGTATAAAGATAAATTTATATTTTTATATATATAGTTTTACTTATATAAAAAACTATGCCGCGCAAGGAATGCTTGATCTTTTCATAGACGATAACATCTTTTGAACTTTATCAATCTGCTTAGCTATCTCTAGCGTTGGTAGCTGCTCATCACTCGCAACATTTAAAAGAATCTAAAAAAGAAATAAAAAGTCTTCTTAAACATAACAACCTAGGAAATATAGAAAAGCGCAAGCATGATATACACTCTCAAGCACATACACTCTAAATGTTATTCATTAAAGCTATACACACTAAAGATTGTTCATCGAAGTCATATACACTAAATGTTGTTCATTGAAGCTGTACCTCTCGGCACTCGAACTAAGTTAAATGCAAATAAATACATAAATATCAGAAAAGCTTGCTATTCTGGTGACTAAAACAAAAACTTAGTATCAGGTTCGAAAGAATTGTTTACTAGATATTTGTAGTTGCTAGCTTCGGCTTCACAACTAAATGAGACACTGTTGTAAAATAATTCATAATTAGCATTATAAAATATAGAAAAAGTCAAATACAATATTTTTTGCAAATAAAATGCAAAATATAGTTCCATAGCAACCTAACAACATCCATTATCCAAAGGCAATCCGAATAATAAAAAACAATTTTCATAATCAATAGTAAACTTTAAGTAACTAAATATCTTGCTTTTAACTGTATTATTATAACTGTATTATATTGGTCACAGATTTATTATTTAGAAAAATAAATGCGTTTTTTCTTTTTTAAAATTCGTTGGACAATTTAATTAGATATTGAAATTGTTTGGACGAACAAAAACGGACGAACACAATAAGTAAGAATATTTTTTACTATTTGGTTGTATCGCTTTCAGCATGATATCATTTAAGTTTTAAAAGAAATTACTAAACAAAACTTTTCAGAAATTGTTGCTTTTTTTAACTATCCGACTTAAAATTGAATTTTTTTTTGTTTAAAAAATCTAACATATAAGACTGAAAGGATGCAAAAAGTTATAAGTTATTAAATGTATAAAGGAAAAATATAATTATTTAATGGTTATTTAGTTTGCGATGGATGTTAAATAGTTTAACATTTAAAGCAAAGCAGACTTGAGCTATGCCCAAAAAGCACAACTCTAATTTGTTTTAAAAGCGATTAGCTAATAATAAAATTATTAAAAATTTATTAAATAATGATAAATAAGTTTATTATCAAATGAATGCATTTTAATTAATAAAAAAAACAACATAATAACCTCTTTTATATGATGCCAAGAAAGAGAATTATCGTTATACGGCTTGGTGTTAACTTGGGACTTTTTATCAGCTTTAACTGCTAGAGAGTGTAAGTAATTGATATATTCAGGTAACTTCACGCCTCGCTCACTTACAATCACATCATTAATAGTCTGACGAACATTATTGATGCTATCACGTTTTTTGCCATGAAATACACTCGCGGCTTTATCTAAGTAGCTTTTGATATCTAAAGTGGTTATAAGAGATTGATAGAGGTTTATTAACCTCTCAAGCAATTTCATTATTATACAAATTAACAATCTGTTTTAGATTCAGAAATTGTGCTAAGTAATTGATATTACATTAAACTACCATAGATTTTTAATAAAACTTTTAAAATGTAAATGCGTCCAAAAAATTAAAACAATATCATACTAAAAAAAATTACACTAAAATAAATTTTATTTTATGAACTTTATATACTCACGGTTGTCAGCGTAGTCCCTCCAGTACGTAATATCTTGCTGTTCACTTAAGGTCATGTTATTTAATGCTAAAAGAAATTGTGAAGAAATGGTTTTAAATGTGATTTTAGGTCAACATTAAAAGTTACGCCATTAAATACTTCACTTACGCCCTGAACGAACCAAAAAGTTCAAATGATCAATTTGATTCAAATACGATCTTTTTTGATTTATATAGCCTTTCTTAGCATCGTTAACATGTTTAATAGCTGAAGAAAATCCATCTGCTATTGTGCTATATCTTGAAAGAACATTTTGGTGTTGATGACAAAAGTCATGAGACTCTAGATAAAAAAAAGCAAAACATGTTATAAATGAGGTTTTTCTCAACAACTTATTTAAAGTAAAGATAATATCCCTAAATAACTAACTAAACAACTAATTAAACCAATTTTCATAAGTTTTATATTCCTGTTTTATTTGTCAATTTATTTTCTAAGAGGTTGAAAATTGTTTTAGTCAAAGATTATGGTTGGCACACAATAGGAGTTATTTAATAAAAAAATTGCAAAATGATTACCCAAAGAAGCTTTTAGTCAAACCAGTTACAAAGTAATGTGTCCATTTTACTTAATTTTTTCAATAAAAAACTATTGGTGTGTCATTTTACATTACAAATTGTTTTGCTTGTAAATTTAGGAAAGCTTGATTAAATATAAAGTTCTTTGAGACGTCTATTGTCTATGTAAAAAACAGCAAATACTTCCTTATTAAGAAACAAGCAGAAACAGAAAAGATCAAAAAAAAATAAATTATATTCTTATAATTATGAGTATCTATTTTTTGTAATATTTCCCTGAATTTGTTACTGATTAAATTATTTTATGTTTATCTCAACATTAAACTTATAACTTATATGTTATACCTTCATTGGGAATTTGATGGCGAGAAGAAGCATTGTTTATGAAACGCACAATTGCATCCTTAGTGCCAATGTCTTCAATACCAAGATATTCCCATGGCACAGCACTTTTCATAGCATTAACTGTTTCTTCGCTTCTCAGGTTAACTAGTGGCAAAGGATCATTAATCAATTTGTGGATACGCAATTCATCTTCTGTGGGAACATGTGATCGCTTCTCTATTTTATCTGATGTTTTAGATTTTACATCACTTTCAACTTTTGACGCATTTTTGGACAACTATAAATATCAAAATTATATTGAATTATATTTGGTAATAAAACTGATATATATATATATATATATATATATATATATATATATATATATATACATATATAAAAAAAAACACAAAAAAAAACTATTATAGAAATTTTTGACCTCGTTACAAGCTCGTTCCACTTCTTTTGATTTGGCATCTATACTTGCAGCACTTTCATCCAACTTTTCAATCTGAGGTTCTGCAGTTTTAGCTGATTTAGAACCTAATGTCCTAAAGGTAGACAAGTCTAAACAGAGTGATCCTAAAAAATAAAGGCAATTTATTATAATTATGCATGAAAAACAATTTAAAGAACAAAAAAAGTTTTTATTCACAGTTTAAAAAATTCTTTTTACTTACCAGAAAAACTAAAGTCCGCTCCAATGTAAGATCCATTTAAAAAATATCCAACACAAGTTTTGGTTGCTGGATCAAATTTTGCATTCACACAAATACTATTAATAGTTAACTTTGTTAAATTCTTAGCAATATCCAAGATAGCTATAAAATTTATAAAAATAAATGTTAATTTTAAAATTTAAATGTTGAATTACATAAGTGGGAATTTTTTGTAAGAACAAGAAAAAAACAATTTAATTCTAGTGTGGCGGTTTAAAAAATATGCATTCAAATGCACATTTTTAACAGCATTTTTTAATTAACATTATTTTAACAATGAAACTGTATCTGTTATGTGGTTTAACATAAAAGTAATATATTTAGCTTAGCAAACAAATACAGAATACAAAGTTACAAATTTTGTTTTGGTTAAAGTATTTATAATTGTATAAACATTTAAATAATAAAAATATGTACACTTTTTTTTGCAAATCATTGTCAGAAAAATTTTGTTGGACCATTTAAGTCTTAAGCATCCTCAGCTATTCTTTTCTTGCTATTAGAAGCAACTTTCTCTTTTTTGTATAAATTGCAATTGTATAAATTTGTATTATGGTAAAATTCAATTAATAAAAATATACTACTATATTATTTATAAGTTTACTTTAAAAACTGTTAAACATTTTTTTGCTAGAAAAGTTTTTTTAGAATGAAGCGATATTTATCCAATCAATATTCTTAAACAGCAAAGCCTTGTTTAAAAAAAAATTGTAGAAGATGTTGTATTATTTTATGTTTGCTTATCTGTCTAGAATGCACTGAGTAACTAAATGTATTCTTTAGAAAATGCTCTGTAGATGAGGAAGAAAGAAGATTTATTTTAAGTAAAGAAATAATAAAAAAGACTTATTTAATCTATAATATAGGAAAAAAAAGAACAAATATCAATAATGAATACTCAAGAAATAAGTCTGATAGATTTAATCAATTAAGAACTTAATCAATTTACTTAATAGAGCAAAACATTATTCCGTTTACAAACAACCAAATGATTGCATCAAACTTTTTTTTTTTTTTTAATTATCTTCGCTTCCAACATGGCTGCAAGCAACCACTAATTAGTGTTGGAAGTTACTGGAAGAGAAAAGATGAAGATTGTAGAGCAAGATAACGATTGACAGACGACTTAAAAGATTGCAAATTATATGAATCAGGAAAGCAAGATGAAGGAAGCGAAGTCCAAAGAACTGATGTTCGAGGAAAAAAACTAGACAAATAAGAGTTTTTGGAGCACTTAGGAACAGTAACAGAAAAAGGATGAGATTTAATAGAATGACGAGTAACACAAGAATGAATTTTAGTAGATGGCACAAGAGACGCTAGCTTTTTTGAGCAGTGCCCATTAGAGTCTTTGTAGAAAAGAGAAAGAGAAGCAACATTATAACAATGTGACAGAGGTTGAAGGTTGGCTGCAAGAGCAGGTCCAACTATGTTTACAATGCGTTTTTGCATCTTGTCTAAAAGAGAAAGGGCATCATTAGAAGATTCACCCCAGATATGGCAACAGTACTCCATACAAAGCCGGATTTGAGATTTATTGAGATAGAGAATAGAATCCAGAGTAAGAAAGTGACGAGCTCGATAAAGAGAAGCAACTTTAGCAGATGCTAATTTTGCAACGGATTTGATATAAGGTTTCCAAGAAAGATCAGAAGTAAGAGTTAATTCTAGAAGATGAAGGGTAGGAGACTCATCGAGTACATTACCGTTCATAAATATAGGAAGGTCTAAACTATTGCGATAACGATTGGCCAAAAAAAATTGAGTTTTATCTGAATTAAAGTTCACCAGCCACTGTGAGCCCCATGCTGTAACAGAAGTGAGATTCTTTTCAAGCTCAGATACCCCCTGCAAGCAATCAGAGGGAGTTGGCTTCCTATCGTGACAAGAATAAATGGTAGTATCATCAGCGAACAATGCCACCTTAGATGTGAGAATATCTGGAAGATCGTTAATGTAAATTAAAAAGAATATAGGGCCAAGGATTGAACCTTGAGGAACCCCTGAGGTTACAGAATAAAAAGAAGAGTGCTGTCCATCAAGGACAACTTTTATACTACGATTGGAAAGGAAGAATTCAATAATCTTAAAGATGTTTCCAGATACACCGTAAGAAGAAAGCTTATGGAGAAGACCAGCATGCCAAACTTTATCAAACGCTTTAGAAATGTCAAGAGCAATGGCCTTAATCTCTCCACCTTTATCTAATGCGCGATAAAACCTATTGGTTATTACTGATAGCAAATCAGCTATAGAACGAGAAGATGGAAATCCATCTTCTCATTCAATCCAAAATAGGGATAACAGATGCTGCTTTCCAGCAGGCTGGAAAACAAGACTCTGATAAGCATTTGTTAAATAGTTTTGAAAGGATAGACGACAGTTCCGGAGAACACTTCTGCAAGACTATAACAGGTATGTTGTCCGGGCCGCAAGCTGCAGAAGAGTCTAAGCGGGAAATCACTTTAGATACAGAAGCTGCAGTGATACGAATGTCAAGCAATGGATCAACCTGTTTGACGGCTGTATCAGGTAGAACGCAACTAGTGGATTCAAGAGATGATATTGATGAAAAGTTCTTGGCAAACAATTCAGCTTTGTCTTTAGTTGAGGTGACAAAGTCTGAACCATACAAAAGAGGTGGAATTACAGACTTGCCCTTATTATTGATACTATTAAAGATTCTCCAGAAGTCATGAGAGCCTAGTTTTTGTGATGAAATACGAGATTTCATGATCTGAGAATAGCGGGCTTTGGCATTAGACAAAACCTTTTTACAATGGTTCCTAGCAGTAATAAACAGACGTCTATTTTCTGGAGAATTGTTTTGCTGATAGATATGGAAGTAATGGTTTCGATTGGCAATTGCAGCAGCACAATATGAGGAAAACTATGGAGAAGAGTGAGGCTTGACCTGGAATTGTCGAGAGGGAATAAAAGATTCCATGCCAGCCTGAATCCACGAAGTTATGTAAGAAGCACATTTGTCAACAGGGAGACGAAAGATTTCTACCCAGAGGCCATCACGAAGAAAATCATGGAAAGAGTCCCGGTCAGCTTTAAGGTAGTTGTAAGATGTACCATGATAGGGGGATTCTGATAGTAAAAAATCATGAAACTGAGTTTTAGAGCTGTACCCTCATTTGGAGATAATAGAATGAGTTGCCTAGTCATAAAAAAAGAGACAAAATCAAAACCCATGAATTGAGTCAAGAAGATCCAGCGTACAACATCCTAAACTGGAAACAATGTATTAAAAATACATCTGCGCCAGCCTAATAGATAAAGAAGGGGTGCGAGGCTGGTCAACAGATAGAATCTGTTTACCCCTTAAGTCTTTGCCTAGGAGGCCTACTACAAGACAGCAGCCGGATGCATTTAACATCTGCCCAAGATGAGTATTTTTGTCGAGACACCATCTCTAGCCTTTACTCAACCAAGAGCCCCAAGGCAGGGGGTATTTTATGTTGGAGTTTGCATCTCCTAGCCTTTGCCTAAAAAGGCATATCCTACAAGGCAGCAGGACATGAAGCAGATTGTACTTCCTTATATGTTCCCTATATGTTCAATCCTATAACTTCCCTATATGTTCAATTTATTGAATACATTATGAAAAATGTTACTAAAGTTTAATGTTGATGTGTGGAGCTGAGAGTAGAGACAGGGCTCTAAGATACAAATGCACATAGAAAGCTAATGATTGTGTTTTTATTCGTGGCTTTTTGATAGCGGCTTCTTCCTTCTAATGAGGGTACAGCTCTAAAACTGAGTTTAATGGTTCTGAGGCCAGCTGGTAGTAAGATTTCCAAATTCTGAGGTAGCTCTCAAAGAGGCTGATTCCATTAGCAGCTGCAAAATATCAGAGTATTAATAGTGCCTTGTTGCCCGTGAATGGTCTCCCTGTTAAGGCTTTTGCTGCACATTGTCAAGACAATATAAGGAGCCCTATATTACAACTTAAGATTAACTGGACTGAGACAACTACATAGCTCAATACTTAAGAGGTTGTGCTCTATTTATGAATGAGCCATGTTCTCTTTTTACTTAAATCATGCCAAAAGTAACCTAAAATATTAAACATAAAAAGCTTTAATGATATCAATAACATTATGCTTTTTATTAAACATAAAAAGCATAATGTTATTGATATCATTTGATTACTTTTTTTAAGTATTACAAAATCAGGTTAAAAAACAGGCAAATCATCATTTTGGATCATAAATAAAAATAAAATATTTTACATAACTACATGTTTCCATTTGTAAAAAATGACTGAGCTTTGAAACTTCAAAATGCCATTAAATTAAAAAAAGTAACCCAAAATATTTAACATAAAAAACCACAAACTACCTAATTGTTTTAATATATCTTTTACTAATACTCATAGTCTGCAAAGCAACCTTCCATCAGTTGAATCTTACCTATTGCAAAATTTACCAGACTTGGTTGCTTAATTTAACTAATTTAATTTCTGCTACTCCTTCTGATTTCAGTGTTGATGGTTAATATCCTTTGATTTGCAAAGACTCCAATAGTCACATGCTTAGCTTGGGGGTATACAAAGGCATCAATTTACTGATTTTTTGTGAAATCAGGCTCGACCATTTATTCATAAGCTTCCGCTTAGCACCTCTTGACTCTATCACCTTTGTCTTTGTTTTTTATCATTCCCCTTCTTTCCAACACTGCACTCTTTTAGATTTAATTTTTGGTCAAATTGACCATACCCTTTCTCTTTACCCCTCTGACAATATTGTTGTTATTGGTGACTTGAATGCTCATCAAATTTAATGGCTTGCCTCTAACGCCACTGATCCTACTGGCACTAAAGCCTAGAAATTCTGCATTTCTCAATCTCTTACTCAGATGGTTAACTTTGTGACTGGTTTTCCTGACAACCCTAAATATTTAACTTCACTCCTTAATTTATATCTGGTCTCTGATTGTAGCTTGTGTTTAGTTTGACCTTTTTTTTCTTTATGTGGTACTGACAATGCAATGATTTCTTTAAATCTTTTATCTTGTACTTCCTCATTGTCATTACTTACTAATACCCTAAAACTGACTAGGATTCTTGCTGTGATTTTCTTTGTGATAGTCCT